TATATAGGTAAGTTCAATTGAGAAAATAAAAAATGTTGAGAATGGGGGAATCATTCTCAGCCAATCATTTATTTTTGCCGTAAAACCCTCCATCTTACCAGGGAAAGGAGAAAGAAATACACATGTATTTTCCAACAAAACATGTTTCTTTAAACGACGCTAATCATTTCCTTAATATATATACAAAAACATAATTTTTTTTTCGTTTTTTTAAATTTTAAGGAGCTATTTTTATCGAAAAATGATTTTAAATATATCAAAATTAATAATTTTTTTATTCTCTATAAATACACATCCATGTAGATATAGTTTCAGCTCTCGTTATTCATAAGTGAACAAAATTCTTCAGATTTTTATGACAGTACATTCGTTATTCACTTATAAATAAAAAATATACTTAATTTTTTTACAAACTAAATATCGTTCATAAATGAATATAATATATAATAAACTTTTTACAGTTACATCAGTTATCATCACATATTATATTCACATATGAATAAAATGTGTATTAATTTTCCTGACAAGTTATATTCATATATGAATAACATATTTATCATAATTTTGTTAAAATTCATTTGTTATTTATATATGAATAACTAGTTTAAATTTTCAAAACACTTTGTCTTTTATTAACATACTCCTTATTTATATATGAATAACAAATAAACTGTAACAAAAATTTGATAAATATTTTATTCATATATAAATATAACATGTGACGAAAGATGATGTAAAAAAATATATTTTAGCTAAGAAAACTTTATTACGTGTTATATTCATATATGAATGATACCTAAACTGTAAAAAAAATTAAGCATGCGTTTTATTTATAAGTGAATAACGAATGTACGATAATAATAATCTTATGCATTTTTTTTCGCCTATGAATAACTAGAGCTGAAACTCTAAAAAAATAAAAAATTTATTTTATCTTAAAACTATATCAATAAGAATGTTTATTTATAAAAAATAAAAAATTATGAACTGATGATATATTAAAATAATTTTTTGATAAAGATAGCTTCTTAAAAAAATATGTTTTTGTGTATATTAAGGTAATGATTAGTATTGTTTAAGGAAACATGTTTGGTTGAAAAATGCACATGTGTTCGTTGTCTATTTTTACCGGTACGCCAAAGTGTTTTGCGAAAAAATAAGTATGTGGTTGATCTTTACATCGAATATTGCATGAAAACAAAATAATGCAGACAATATATTCTTGCATGCATTACCCACCAAAGAATGGGTTCACCAAACCATTGACATGCAATAAACAACCCAACCCGTCGCACTGGTGCAAGGTATCACAGCCCGGCCGTTAACAGGAAAAAAAAATCCTTGATCTGCTTGATTTCACTACTTGTAACAGGAAAAAAAATCCTTGAATCCCCATTCTGGATTTGGGGTGGGGAACGGGACATATTTTTGATTTTTGAATGGTTAAGGGCGGTTATAGGGATGAGGGTGAAGATTTTGTTATGAGGATGTGGAATGCTGCGATCCCCACTAGTATATCCATCCCCTTTGCTATCTCTCAATTTAAATTTCTATCTTAGATGAAATTTGAAAGAAAATCAAAAAATAAAGACCGTCCTATATATATTAATGAAAAGAAGAAGAAGAAGAATAAGAAGAATAAGAAGAAGATAGGGTCGAAACCCGTTGGTTGGGCCAAACCATATGTCGACAATGTTATTCGCTCTATATTATATTAACAAAAGTATGACCTTTACGAATTGTGTCATGATGTTTGATGAAAGAGAAATAAAATATTAATTCAAATACTCTAAAGTTAGAAAATATAACTTTATATATATATATTTTGATATTTTGATATGATGGTTAACAAATCATGAAACACATTACTCATGACCATTCATGTAACTTGGTCCATCCTCCTGGAAACGGATTATAGTGTCGCGATATATAGAACCCATCATCTCTAACTAACCAAAAACATTTTTGCTGTTTGAAGGTGTTATTATCAGTGCAATATGTGAAAGCCATATCATTATCATAAACATCAAAGAAAGCAGTTCTCGAATTCCAATAGAAATGGGCATAGAATCGAGTCCTTCCACCGGAGCTCAAGCAGAACTTCCAGTTTGTATAATCGTTAAATGCCACCGTACGGTTTCCTAGATCATCTTCTTTTGACTGTATGTGAACAGTGATAGGATCCTTTATTGCATCGTAGATATACACACTCCACGAACCTAACCAACAAACCTTGTCAGATGTGTCAGGTATTGGAGATTCCATCGGAGATTCAATTGTGGTTGCAGTCGACAATGCATTTGTTGTGATTACAATGTAAAATAGTAAGAAAAATAAGCACTTCATGGGCTCTGTGTAGTGAGTATTTAATCAGTTGATATGAACATGTACAAAAACAGTTTTACTATATGTAGTATAATATGTGTTGGTCAATACATTCTAAATAAATGAACATCTGTTTCGAACATTTATGAAAACATTAATATTAAGTTACTGCATAAATAACATAATTGTTAAATGAATAAATACCCAAAAAACATAAACTTAGTTTTTTTTACATTTTATATATCAACATTCGTAATTGTTTGTAAAACTGTGAGATGGATCCATCAAGTATATCGACATTGTCTATTGTTTTGGTACATTAGTTTTCAACGAATTACGAATAATCAATGGGTGATCCGTATAAGTGGTGGACAAACAACTCAACAGAATATTACTTATCTTGTCTTGACATGACGATTTATGTTAGATTCTTCTCTCAATAATAAAATAAAATAAAAAGAATAAAAACATCCTATATTCACCTTTGGACAAAGTAAGATTATACAAGATTATCAAAGAATATGGATTCAACCTCTTCTTTACCAACCAAAAATTATAAAAAGATTTTATCTCATAAGAGTTAGATAAGTAGATACTAAGTTGCATTGCAATCCACCACCTTTGTTCTTCTGCTTGCAAGTAATAATATGCCCTCCTTAACATCTATAATTAGTAGTTAATGTTAATTATTAACTATGAAATTATAATGATAGTCAACAGACAGCTGGCGTTGTTTATAAAATGATAAAGATTTAAAGAAATGTATTGTTGTTGTATCTTTAACGCAAAGTGGGTCTAACCTTTTTAGTGATTACTGATTTGTTGAAGTAGCAAGCTGAATCTAGATGATTATATCACATAAAGATTACAATTTGGGTTTTATGATTTTATAAACTTACGCACAAAGATTTGTAACTATTAATGTGAAGGAGGCCCAACCTTGAGAGATGAAGAGATGTAATGAAAAATTAAATCAAAATGGGAAAAGATTAATAAAGACTACGAGTGGAAGATCAGGAATAAAAGATCTAAAGGGAATAGAAGCGATTCAAATCAGGAGAAGGTTGAGAAGCTTTCTATGACATACCTCATTACTAATTAAATTCCCGAATGATTTGATTGAGAAGGACCTATGGCATCTTTTTGAAGAGTCTAGTAAGATTGCAGTAGTCTATATTGCTAGAAGATTTTCTAAGAATGGGAGAAAGTTTGAGTTCGTCAGATATTTGAATGTTTGTGATGGTAATTGACTAGAAAAAAGTTTAGCAGATATTTGGGTGGGTAATTTCCACCTGTTTGTATCAATAGCCAAATTTAAAGGAGGTTTATATGATTCATCAATGAATAAAGGAACGAAAGAAAGGGATGATAGGAATCAACAGAAGGGTAATTCTATTTTGCATGGATCAAAATTTGTGCATGGGAATTCTTATGCTAATGTTCTCAGAAGGAACGAAGGGGAGAAGATGAAATCAGTTGATAAGGTCATATAAAAGATTATTCTTACTTACCCTTTAAGTGTTTTCATGTATCTCTCAAATGGATACATACACCTAAAATGAACCGGGCGACACAACCTCACCTCTCTAACTAAATGCACCATCAAGTGAATAATGACATCGAAAAATGAAGGAGGAAAGTACTTCTCTAACAAACATAATGTTAATACGATGTCACTTTGCAACTTACCTAGCTTACTAACACCAACAACTCTACTACACAACTCATTGAAAAAAATGACACAAACTTAGGATCGGTCTCCGCGCCTTCACGTCTAACACCCCTTTGGTTGCAAAAGGGAGAAGTTGTTGCATTAGTACATGACAAGCATTAGACTTCAAACCATTCATCTTTGAAACATCATCCGACACGAGATTCTTGAAATTAGAGCAATATCCATGAGGCACTTTTATGCTAGACAGGGTATCATAAAATAGATGTTTCTCTGCGGAATTCAATGTGTAGCACGCAGGCGGAAGCCAATGTCAATCCGCTTTGGGTGAGATTTCAATTCAAGCTTAATGCCCAACGCTTCAAGATCTTGTCGTGCTTTTAATCCATCCTTCGTCTTGTGAGGCAAATTCAACATTGTCCCATAAACACTCTTGGTCACATTTTTTTTCTATGTGCATGAGATCTAACTGATGACGAATATGCAACTTCTTCCAATACTCAAGTTAAAAAAAATCGACTTTGTTAGAACAAAGTTCTATCAGGATCGTTAGATTCTATGCGAGCAAACAATTATGAACGTAAATAAGAA